TTAATCGAGTGTACCAACTATTTTCAGGGACTGACTTTGTATGATGCTGGTTTTCTAAATGGTAACAGTCTTTTCTCAACAGATGTCGACAAATATTACGCAGCAAACACCATGAAACGACTTCTACATAACAATGACTTACCAATTAAAATCACCTGACCTTATCAATAAAACGAAATTACTGGAGTCCTATAACCGATAAAGCAGTGTTCGGTAAAAGTGAAGAACAGTTCCCGAAAGATATTGCCGGCCGTCTGTCGGCCGTCTGTCGGCCAACTCTTTTTGATTAAGTGTTGAGAAACCAAAACCAAACTCATCACAACTACCAATCACAACAAAGGTTGACATCATCGTTAACCAATGAAAACTCAAAGTAAAATCAGGCAACCTGCGTGAAGCGCGGGAAAACGCGGGTGACCAAAATGAGATTGATTTTAGTCCTGCGTGTGATTGGCTGAGATGATGGTGCGAGTTCTCTGGACCAATCCAGAGCGAAGTAAAGCAAAACCAAAGCAATCCCGGATCACTTTCGATAGTCAATAGAAAACTGCTCTAACATCATCAGGAAAACTGCCAATAGCTATGAGAACCAGTCTTATGACGCATTTACACTCCACCAGCGAAAAACTCTTTGCTTGACTCTAATTGGTGTATTTTCCGTTCGGGTTGTCGTCGAAGCCTCAGTCACTATAACAGACAAAAGTCTTTTCCAAGACCACTCTCGCCCAGACGATCGGACCTCAAGATCAAACAACAGAATGGAAACTTCAAGAGAAGCGGAACACTGAAAACCTTACTAAAATCCTTCATCTGATGAGAACCTGATGCAGACCTCTCTAAGCTGATTTGGCAAATTGTTCTAATTTTTATTAAAGGTACAGAGTTATCAAAAACATCAAAAGAAAACCTCTCATCGTTGTATAAGAATAACATACCTCATCTTGAGTCAATCCATAAGCTTTTTTGTAATTAAACACATGGGCACTGTCTGGAAAAATTCCTCTGATCATGTTATACCCACGTCAGCCGGCAACTACCATTCTATAAAAATATGAGGGTCAAAACGGTGATATTACATAGCTTTATGCTATAGTACCCAGCCTTTGACGAGTTCTGCGTTCGGGTGTGATTTCGACGTGATACCTTACGCGAATGACGTCTCCTTTCAGGAAGCTAGCCTAACGTTTAAGAGTCCTTATTGATAAAAATACTTTATACTTTTGAACGTAGGGCATGTACAAACAAAGACATTTTGAGCTCCCACAGGTAATCGAAACTCAGACCTTTCGGATTTCGCGATCCGATGTTCTACCACTGAATCAAAGACTCTCTGTGAAGGATATTTTGATTTCATTAGAGTGCATTGACAAAAGGCTCACGCTCGAAATATCAGCTTTAAAAACTCTATAGGGTGGCCAATTCACATTATCAACTCATTTGATAAACCAACTGAGTTATGTTTTTATGTTTATGTTTTTGTAGATCGGTGTTTTTTCCAAGATCTTAGTCATTAATTAATATTTGTCAGCGATATTATCATTTTCATTATATTATCGTTATTATTGTCGTCATCTTATCTTTACTATTATTACTATTATTGGTAATATCTTTACCAAATTTACTTGTCATACGGGCAATCGGACTTCCCCTTGGTAATGTCCATCAGATCAGAAATTAGCCAATAGAATCGCTTGTCTGTCGCAAGCCTTATTTTACCCCAGTCAGACTTGGTTACATAATTGCAACCTGCGTTCAAGTCGCCTAAAATCATAACGTCTTCCAATGTCCATCGTTGCACAATGTCGTTGTAAACGTCGACCAAATGGTCGATTTCTGATTTTGCATCGTTTGTGAAAGTGCGTATGGCAGCCATAGCAAAGTCCGACGCATCTGAATAAAGAAAAAGACAACTTTCATCACATTCCTCTGGTCTTCGCACATTATTCGATTTCATTCTCTTTTTTTTCCAAACAAACATGCACAACATTGTAAGACGAACTTGTGCAAATTGACTGCGCACGCTCGGACGAAGGTACGAAAGATTTAACTTGGTTTGTTCTTCTCGCATACCACACTTCTCGCGCGCGCACCCCTATTTTATGACTTGCGGATAAGAAAGAGTCATTAGGTGAAACACAATTTAGCCGCGTACATAGTATCTAAAGAACGCGATTGCCAACAAAACTAAACTCAGTCTTTATCAGAACATCGATAAAATCAAATTCTCTTTACTCCAAATGGACTTAAAAAACACAGAGAACATACATGCTCCTTTGGCTTGAAAACGGACGAGAAAAGGATCTCTTTAACTGTATCTTGGTTGTCGTAATACACATAGCTGTCCGTGACATTCACCTTGTCATTCTTAACAGAGAGAAGGACAGGACGATATTGCTCTTTCATCATATACTTCCATTTTCAAATATCAAATCGTTTTTTAATCAAGCAATCGGAGTAAGGCAAATAATACTGGAGGGCTAGGTTCTAGTCTGATTTTATTCAGGGCGAGCGGGTTGCCCTTTTAGACTGACACCTGTGGTATATTAAAGACACACCAATACTTATCTTTTGATAGAATAATCTTGGAAACATCCTTCACAATACCTGTTAGCTCAAAAGAACATGAACTGCTCTTTTTCTGACAAAGCATACCCTATAAATCCGATTTGAGCTAGAGTTATCATAGAAGAAGGATTGGTATAGTTTATATAACCTAACTTACCTGTACAGGGATGCATACTGCTCCTTGGTATCTAAGTGGCCAAGCCTGGTGCTTAAAAAGAGAAACAATAATTCTAGCTCATCTCTGGAATGAATTCAAGATAGAATATATGAAAACTGCTAGGAAAAAAGTTACTTTATTGCTGTTTAGTTCCTTGCGCTTGTGTTTTGCTTTTCCTGTGGCGAAATCTTTGTTGATAATGGGTAGCTTTGTTTTTCTCTGTTGCCATGACATATTATTCCTTCGCTCTAAGTTAGGCGGACTCCCCTTGGTCAGTGCTCTAGAGTTTCGTTGCCGTAAAGTAATTCCCTAGCTAAGCGAAAAAAAACACTAACTCAGTTTTGAGGGCAGCATCGAAAGAATGGGCTGTAACACAAGGTGCGATGATCTTTCACCGAAAAGTCATCCGGCAGTTTTACTGCAAGTTACTCCTTCTATTCGAGATTGCAAAGACAGAGGCAATCGTCGTCGGGCCGGTCAAGCAGAAAACGAGTGAGTTTATAGTCATCTGATTGAAGTTTATCTCAAATGGGGATTTTGAAAGAGAAAAACTTCTTAACTTCTATGATGTATTTTTGTTATTTAAATACGATAGAAATTTATCTCGTTGCACTGCTGCTATTGCGAGGACATTGCTATTGTTGCTACTTTTAATTTCTCGAGGGCAGGAGGGAATTGATGGCTCGTGAAGTGGAATTTCGTAAACCTAGGTTAAGGGAATACACGATCCCTTCGAGCTTGTGTTTATGCCAGTGTTCGCCAGCTAGACGTTTCGCACCGTTCTGGCAACAGGATGTCGTTCAGCTTAGGAAAGCACTTAACCTTTACTACAAATGATGTATTTTTGTTATTTTTAAATAACAAAATACGATGGACGGTAAGTGTAGGTTTTATTGAAAGATTTTACTTTATTTAAAAATACGATGGAAATTACTATCAGTAGGATTTACATACGATAAGTAAGAGCGCAGTCATGTGGAAAGAAAAGAAGTATGAGAACATCTTAAGCGCGTGAATAACAAACAATAAGAAGCTCAGCATTCTTCGCTTGCGAAATGTCAGACGAAAAGAGTGTGGAACAATCGTGTCCGGTATGGGAACAGGACCCTTAATCAGCATTTTTTTTAGCTTGATTCATCGGCCATCTTCCCCTGATTTGACGAGTTGTATGAGTGTGTCTGGCTTCGAAGCCGGAACAGAACATATAGGCCGATGATCAAAACGCGTCCATTTTGGCAAGTACTGTAAAGAAATACACTGCATATGTGTATCATTCTTGTAGCTAGCATTATTTGCCGCTCCGGCTACGCCATACGTTTGTCCCCTCATCTACATTTCTTCTTTCTCCATGATATTTACCGACGTGTCTTCACAGTTTTCTACGTCACAGCTATGTAACATGATCGTTTCGGCTGCGCGCTAAAGTAGACACTTTTTGGCCACTAAATCGTACTTTCAAGGCGCAAAAACTTGTCAAGGAGAACTCACTAGGCTCTAGGGTCGATTATATTAAATACAGCTATTTAACAGAAAACGCAAAAAAAATTTCGTGTCGTAGACACTTTAAGAGACACGATGGGCCAAATTACTCTATTTATGCATGTACTGGCACTTATCACGCGCATCATTTCGTCGTGTCGGTTCCCGGTACATTTTGCAATAGCTGAAAGCAAAGGTTTTTAAAGGGATGTTACTAAAACTAGTAACGGGGAACGGGGAACGGGGAACGGGGAACATGGAACGGGTGTATAGCGGTAATCCGCCTGAGAATTCAAAATGGCGGAGTAGAGGGAACTAAAATGGTCTGGCAACTAGTTTTGAGCACGTGCTCTTCGAACGCGATCGTCGGAGCAAAAAGGATGGACGGTAAGTGTAGGTTTTATTGAAAGATTTTACTTTGAAATGTTGAGTGCCTCATAAATTTAGTTTATGTCTGGCACACATTGCAGGTTGCATAGAAATCAAATCCTCGGAGAGGTGAGTATCTTACAATTCATGCACAACATTTGAACAATCAACTCAGAACTACAAGCTCGCGGCATTTATTCTTATATTCATAGAGTAATTGTACTGCAAGGTAATGAAGTTTACCTCCAATATCTTCACCGTTACAACCTAGCAATATCAATAATGTTGTAAAGCAAACAGCTGAATGACTTTCACGCCCATTATGGGAATCACTTTCTCTTGAATATGATCAATGCAGTGTAAATATTATTGTAAGCATTAGCATGAATGTGAATTCATACACCTACATTCTTGAAGACATAACTGATGTTTTCCTGTTAAATTAANGGGGAGATGGGGTCACAAGAATGTGACACATCCAAAGCTTCCGACTCTCCGCACCTAGGCGATAAATAATGACCGGTTTCTCAGCTTCTACCTCTTTCTAGTTAACGTATTGTTTTTTCATAAGATACGGAAAATGTTAAACAGCCTTAAACAGACTTTTAGTAGAACAAGGCGCTGCTTAAAATCCTGAGATGGACCTGAGGTGATAATACCCTGAATTAACTTACTATTTCCTACGGAATAGTTGTGATATGCCCGCTCTTACCCCTGGGGCCCGCAAGGCGTAGAGTATTGGATGAGTTAGCGAACCAGCCAGGTAGATGACCAGTAGTGCCATATAGAAATGAAAGTATGGCTGCTGAGAAATGTTGACATGAATTCCAAAACTTGAGAGATGGCTATAGATAATCATTGGAAGACAGGTAAATATACTTGTCAGAGTGATAAGGAACAAGGTTTGGGTCAGTTTTCTTTCCCGCACGCCGACAGCACCATAGTATTGAGGACGACGCCTGCACCGGAGTTTAATAAATATACTGACATAAGAAATACAAAGAATACACAGAGGAAAAAAGCGACTTGTACTCCAAGCAAAGCGAGAGTTATCGTCATTTGTGAACGCTATTACTTTCGCGACTAGCATGCCACCGTATACTATCCAAATGACAACAATTATCACAGCTTAAATCCATTTCTTGACAAAGCGATGCCTGAATGGACGAAATGTGGCGTGTGCTCGGTCTAGCGAAATGAAAAAGAGATTAAGACACTGGACAAAGGTGAATTCAGACGATGTCTTCAAGAACCAATAAAGTGCACGTGGTTGGTAATCCCTCTGATAGCAGTACAAGCTCATATCTTCCACGATCCATCCAGGGCCTGCAACTGCTCCGATCAAGAGTTGGACCACTAACAGATGGAAGATCAAGTATGTGCTTCGGCGTTGTAGCTGACGCTTCTTCACGAACACAACTATGATGAGAAAATTAAAAGTGACTATGGCCAGACACTCCACGATGAAGACAGCAAGCCACGGAACGCATTGTGATTCTACAGGTGCCATCAGCGATAGCTCATTCACATTCTGCTGATTATTGGCACTGTCGTTGAGAAGCATTGCGTTTCCTTTCACCTTCATTTGTAGCGCACCCAACGGCCTTAAGATCAGAGAAGAAAGTCATGGAAGAGAAAAACAAATTTACTTGTGCCTCAAAGACTAGTTTTCTACCTAAATTTCCAACCCCAATTTTTCATTTTACGTTCGCTATTGATAATAAATTTTACGGCTCTAAATTTCGTGGAAAGAAAGTCGCGAAATTAACTGACCCGCGAAAAAAAAATTGTCGCGAAATTTAAACAGGGAAAATTTAATCCTCTGCAGAAAATTCAAATCACAGAGTGAATGATCAACATGTTTAAAACAACAACATATACAAGATATGTTTCGATAACTTCAAAAAATTATTTGAAAAATTGTCTTACTGGGACGTTCTATTTTGTAACTTCTGTTGTGAAATGACGTTAATTTTCAAAACATTTCGCATATGGAGTAGAGATCATCGGTACCTGAATTGTCGGATTTCTACAAATTCCTTAGAACATCTTTCGTGGAGTTGTCAAAAGTTAGGACGTGAAAAATACAATGAAGTCGAGAACACTTGAATCGCGAAATTCAATGCCCTCTTATTTTTGAAATTTCCCTATTAAAACCGCAAAAGCAAAACCCCGCGTTTAGCGAAAACTGTACCACCTCGCCAAAATTGCAAAATTAAAATTCCTTAGAACATTACGTTGCAAAACATTATTGGAAAATTACGCTGGTAATCTCTTCTTTCTTTATTTCCCAATATATAGACTGCTAGAGTGCCAAATTTGGATATTACAACTCTGCTAAAAGGTTTAATGCAGTAAATACCTTTCATTCTGAGCAAATCATAAAATTTAACTTCAAAAGGGGATCCGGCGAAACACGCTTCTTTTGATGCAATTAAATATCAAATGCTTTGTCAGAATTTAAGCTCATCTATAAATAGCTTTCAAGATAGGTTGATTTTATCAACTGAGTTTATCACGTAAAATCAGCCACCGTAACGAGTTTCAAAACTGACCCTTTGAGCGGGAGACCTTCGTCTTTCGTTCTAACGCTTAAGAAACTCTTTCGGTGGCCAACTTGAATTATCCATTCAGTTGATAAAACCAAATTATCTTGCAATGCCCCCCACTGACGCAGCACCGCGGTTTCCTAAGAAATTATTCCTTTTATAAAGAGCTTCCTGTTTGTCAACTAATGGTCGTCACAACCCACCCAGTTTCACGCTTTATATTCGATTTTACGTCACGCTAAATCTTCAGACAGTTTCACGCAATAACCCCACGGTCTGGGTCAATATCGATTTCCGATTATTCACGTCGACAAGGGACAAGGCTTGCGAAAAAAAAAGAAAAACAGCCATCTCAAATGCTTCACTTTTTCATCCTTTTTATTTTACACGGAAGAAAAAAAGAACTCGTTTCGCAGAGTCGAGTGATAAGCGACTTTAAAAAGCTGGCCCGGGTTGTTCAAACCTGGGTTAAGGTAACCAAGATCAGCGTGAAGTTTGACTTCAGATCTGAAAGCTTTAAGAGAAAGTTCAGTTTAATTATTTTGTGTCTACAATTTGATGATTGGATGCTCTTAAAAGAACGGGGAAAATTATCTCAGAAAGGTTCTTGAATAGAGAAATAAGGAAACCTGAGTCAAAATTGAACCCTGGGTTAGCTAATCGGCCTTCAAACAACTGGACCCAGCTGATATCTAATGCTGCTTCGGAACTAAGTACATAAACGTTAATAACAATTGCTAAGAGCGCACGATACGAAAAGTAATAAATGAGAGGATTAGGAAATGGACAAACCTCCTTTGTATCGGCTGATAATGCCCTTGGCCGCGGGATTGTTCTTATAATCTCGTATCTGCCCTCGAAACTTCTCTTCTCGGCCAAATATTTATTTTCAATATTAGCCGACATACTAGTTGCCTGAAGAGGTTTATTTACTATTTAGCCGTTTATCTGTTTTGACCTAATTAAAAATTTCCGAGTCATATCCAGTGCAAGCTTTACATTAACAACTTAAGTGTTAAAACAGTTTGGCGTCTGTATGGGTAAAAATATCTTGTACTTCATTTCGCTAAATTTACCGACTGGCTACGTTTGGTTCAATCTTAAAGAGCAAAACCACTGTAAAAATTGTAATGAAAAAAGAGAACTTCGACCTTCTGCTTTTGCGAATATGTGAATCAAGCTTTCTTCTAATGCCAATTTTTACGGTCAAAAGAAGTGTGAAACTGCACTTCTTTCAAAGCAAATTATGAAACTACAGAGAAGAAAATACGAGCCTTCCTTTCTTCGCTTAAACACGATTATGGCACTTGAAAATGCCACAAATATATCTAGCCAAATAAACATACATTAATAGTTGATAAATCGTCATCTTGAGAAGATATGCATATGAATATATACAGTGTAGAGGAATTGTCGAGAGATTACTCAACGGTTGGTGTACATGATAAATCACAAACACCCAAAAACAAACGTTTTCCGCCTCATCAACCCTTAACTCTCTAAGACTGCAACATAGCGAAGCACGTGGTACATTAATTCAAAATACACAAACTTGCAAACTTACCTGAACGAAGCGCAGTTATCAAAACCGTGAATGCAAAGATGTTTTCATTGACCAAGACGAGGTCAACTATAAGTCCCCTACTAAGAACAAGGACAATCCACAGTAGAAAAAGCGCGGTCAATGAATGATTTATTACATGACAAAAGTATTGCTTCGACAGGCCCACACTCAACTTAGGCCAAATCGCTCAGGTGGCCAATTAAAACACAGGATTAACTTCATATTGGCCACGAGTGCTGCCAGCGATTTTATAACATGGGAATGATTTGCGCTTTCCGATGCCCTGAAGGCCTAATAGAGGAATAGTAATGTTCAATATCTTTCAGTAATGGCACGGTAACTTAAATTATTTTTCAAGTGCATCTACTCTGAATTGTAATGACGTTTTCATAAATAAAAGCAAATAAAAGAGCAAAAAGAAAGCCGAAAAAGTCTGCCAATACGAAGTATTAGCACAAAAAAAAAAAACTATCCTTTTTTTAATGAAAACGTCACTCCTATTTGGTGTAACTCAATATTTATTGAATGAATGGAATATCAAAAATATAACAAGGACTAATTTTATCAAATCGATTGTACATATAACGAACTACGACCCAGCTGTAGAATTCGAAGTCATGGAAAAACCTCACATGGACAAATATTACGTGGGTGTTTCTCTAGTCCCTTCTGCTAAGTGTTAACAGCCAGCGGCGAAAACAATGTCATGATGATGTCGAGTTGGCGGATTCGGGTCGAGCAAAACGGCGAGATGATTTGAAATCCATTTTCAAATTTTTTATATATTTAAAAATTCGCGCATGAAAGTTGAACTTTTCCCTACTGAAACTCTAAAAGGCGAATTTTACGCAGTCCGGTTGTGCAATTTCGGTCCATTCTTTTCTAATTTTGAGCGATATCGCCTTCAAGTTCACCGCCTCATCGGAAATGTGGGAAAAATATTCACCTCGTCATTTTGCTGTTTTTTTTTTAATTTTTTTTTTATTTTTTTCTTGCATTGACACAATGGAGTCGTTCCGCTTTCTAGCCGCAGATAACGAATTTGTTGTTTCATTATGGATGCTTTTTGGAAATATTTTTGCCGGAAAAACGAAGGGAAAGGAAACTGGTTCAAATACTGAATTCACTATTCCGGCCCCTCTTTAAGTTGATAAGAGAAATTTCTTGCTCTGAACTTCATACAGCATTAAACTGTGAAGTTTTAGATATTCAGAAAATTTACATTCCATGGTTAATATTCTAAGGTTCCATACGGTCTACAGTCGCTTTGTCCGTATTTACTCAACTGCTTAAACCCATGACTTCTTTAAGTCACGCATCCCTTTGTCACTCTGACGAAGCATAGAATGTTCTGAGATAACGTCGTTGTTATTCCAAGACTATATAGAGCTCAAGCAAAGACGTTCTTGAGACGCGGACAGCAACCGAAGAAGAATGACGCGAAAAATGGCGCGTTTTAGGTCAATGAACCGACTGAAAGGTCGTTATCTTAGTATTGTGCTAACCAGAAGATGTACTAAGGACTGGGAATGAGAACTTTTAACTTCCGGCTGCCGTCCGCTGTTTTTTTTTTTTTTTTTTTTTTTCACTCTCGACGAGTCTAGTTGCGAAGGTCAAAGGTTCAAATCGGTCTAAACCACAGAGTTTCCTACTGAATCACCTTAGTTTTCGATGTCTTTTTCCTTTTTTTTTTTTTTTTCGTGACATAACCCTGCAAAAATGAGCGAAGCTTCTCACAGACTCAGTGGTATTTTCTTTAAGGAATGTTTATACAGTCACAGTACGTCACTTCCTTTTCCAATCAGTCACCAAGCTGTGCTGATATTCTATTAAAAATATTGCCAAACAATATATTGCTGCCTCGTTGTCTTGGCCTCTGGGCATGAATTAATTAAGAGCCATAAATTTCAGTGACCCAGACAACGTACTGGCCGCGTGCAAGAAAACAGGCTTTTAGCAAAGATCGCAAAAGCTCATTAACCGGCAGAAAAAAACAACTCACGAGCCAATTCTTGGGAGTTAATTTTGCTTCGTATTTTTCCATAACCCTATTTACCATAGTTAAAAATTAGAGAAGCAAATGAAAATAAATGAGCAGTAGTGAAAAAATTGATGATGTCCCGATCGCTAATTTATAAAGTGCATGAGCCATAAACTGAACAAGCCAGTGAGGACGAAAAATATAGTGATCGTAACAACAGAAACTTTGAAGTCAGCGCGACCTTTTGTTTAGTGGTAGTCATGGAAGTCAATCACCTTCCCCACCCCTCCCCCCCATTGGCCCCCTTCATCCCAATTATTTGTCCTGAAGTCTCTTGAGCTACATGAATGTCAAGGATATCTTCCTTTGGAAAAAGTTGTTCCATTCAAAATTTAGCCAAGTCGCGATGGATCGATTATTTATACTGTAAGTTTAGTATCAGATAAGTTGAGAATGTAACACAAACTTCCTTCCTATTCCAATATATACGGACAGATAACTTTCGATTATTTGAAAAGAAAAGTGCTCTGTTATCACTGATAGCCCTGTCGCAAGAAGAGCCTCCTTAAATGCGCAAACAAGTTTATTTTGCCCAATGGGCGGAATCTAAGGATTTGTTTAAGTAATCGGTGTCAACCTAAATATTTGAACTATTTTTATAAAAACTAACTTACCACGGCAAGTGGTTGTTTCTTTGTACGGTATGACTTTTCTGGGGTGGTTTATATTAGCGCCATTTAGATCGCTTTTAATTCATCTGCTTGAACACTCCAAATGATCCTTGGATCCCCTTGAGAGCGAGGCCGAACCTTTGCTATTACAAACATTGCGTGACGTTGAGCAAAGAACTGAGGAACCGCCAGAGTGATATTCGAGAAAAGCACCTTTTACGTAGCTTTAGCGTGAGTCGAAGACGGTTCAGAACAATGGCGGATCGTTCTTCTCTCCTCCGAAGTAACAAAAATCCAAAGTTGCTGGGCTATTCCTCATTTGATCCCGGAGGTTCTATAGACAGTGGAATCTCGAGCAGCGGAGAGGGAAGAGTTTCAAAAGAGCATGGCTCGAAGTCTGCAGGCAAAGTTGTCGAAGACGCGGAAAGGGTTTCGATTTCTTGGGAGAACATTCAGGTGTTTGTTGAGCAGCCCGGACCGTCCTTTATAAAGAGACTCTGTTTTGGGAAAAATGAAAATGAAGCAGCTAAAAGGAAGCAAATCTTGTTCAATGGTAGGTTAAAGTTACTAAATGATTTCCAATTTTATGGCATTGAATCGGGATTAAGTCTTATCAGGCTTCTGGGAGTTTCGTATCATACCGTACTGATCGGATGGGAAAGCGAGCTCTGTTGGCCCTTACGGGAGCCACAATTACTTGATGTAGGGAAAGAGAACTCACATTGGCTCAGAGTAAACACGTAATCGTTGTATTTCTCTCTTTTACCCGTAAAAAACGTTCCGTGTATCTCGATCTCTGATTCGAACTGCTCGCAGCGTGACAATAATACGAAACCAGGGTCTTTTGACCCTTTCCGGATGTCGTGCTACCGCCGCTCGACTGAAATTTATAAATTTTGACTAGGCAGTTGAGTTACAATTGACACGGCCGTAGCATATCTCGAATTTGATCGAACTCGAACCGCATTGAAATCACTCCCAACAACTGCCAGACAAGATCTCTTTCATTTATCCTTGAATTCTAAAGGACTGGTCATTCGGAGTTTCTCCCTCGGGAAGGGGGGAGGGGGTGGAGGCTTTTTGTTGTGTCTTAATAAAGATTACGTGATCCCTCATAAGGTTCTCGACTATTATTAATGTCCCCCTGTCATTGGCAGTCAATTGAAACTATTTTCTATAGTCGCCCCCTTATGCTCTGTTGGTGAAGTCTAATTTCCCCCCAGTTCCCTCCTGAAAACCATGTGATCCAGCAAAAATCCTCCAGTCTTCTCCCCTGTAAAATAAATAATGACTGGTTTCTAAATACCTTCAATAAAGATCATCAATGCATATTCCACCAGACGAGAAGAAAACGTTTGAAACCAAGTCTAGGTCTCTACAAAGTAAACACTTTCCATTCGCATAACTGATGCAAACCTCAATCTAACCCTCAGTCGTGCTATTGCCTTGCTTGTACATTTTAATCTGAATTTCGTGCAGCATGGAAGTAGTCCCAGCTTTATAACAAGCGTCAACACATCTGCTCAATTCTTTTGATTTGCCTATGTCACACCCTCCCAAGGCGCCTTGTACTTCATCTTGGAAAACGTGATAAATTTTTGTGGCATCGCAGCATTGCGAACACCACTAGGATCTTGATCTAAATCTTCCGAAAACTAGCTTCAATAAATTGAATTGGTAAGTTAGACCGCAATAATCAGAGCTTTCTATTGTATATGGATCGTAAGCCAGCAAGTCCCCGTCAAGGAAGAGGTAAGGACGAAAAATAACCTCTAAATTGTCTAATTTTTTAGTTGTAACTCCAAAATTTGTTTCTTCTCTAGTGAGCGGAAACGTAGAAGCTGGTACCTTGCTGGCTATAATGGGTGCGAGGTAAGATACGGCCTTCGTAGTCATATTTTGGGTCTTCCAATTCAGCGGAGACAGGTGAAGCGTGAAACGTGAAGCGTGAAGACAACATCATTCTTGATCTCTTGCACTCTTGTCACGTTCGCCTCGCACCTGCCCGCGTCCGTCGGAAAAAGCGTAAGAGTAAAAGAAAAAAAAGACTTGTTGTTCTCTCCACATTTTTCCTTCCACTCGGCTGCTTTTTCGCTGATCTAAGCTCCTGGAACAGCTTACAGATTGTCTACTTATTTTCCTGCAGCGGCGCTGGAAAAACCACCCTGATGAATGTGCTGGCCCACCGTAACATCTGTCAGATGGAAGTGAGGGGGAGTGTGGAGATAAATAATCGTCCCGTTGGAGCAGAGATCTCTTCTATGTCTGCTTACATTCAGCAAGAAGATCTCTTTGTCGGAACTCTCACTGTTAGGGAACATCTCACGTTTCAGGTGAATATATCGTGGCACGTTATTGTGGTTGAGGATGGAGGAAAGGGGGAAAGTGAAAGAATAGAAGAGTGAAGAGAGTAGGAGAAAGGAAATAAAAAAATCAAGTTTTTGGGGTTGAGGATGTGGGGGGAGGTGAAGGGTGATTAAGAGAAAGATGAGGCGTGAGTAGTCCAGTGGTCAGAGTACTAGACTCTGGGTCTGACGGCCTGGGTTCCATTCCTGGCTGGGGCACTTCGTTGTGGCTTTAAGCAGGTCGCTTCACTCGCATTGCTTCGTCTTCTCGGATAAGACGTAAAGCCGTAGGTCCCGTCTCCTGCAGGGTTTGGGGTAGGTGACATTAATTTTCCACGCACGAGATTACTGTGTGGTGGATATCCTCCCCTGGGTGGGATGTGTGGGAAGGTGAGATCGCTGCATGGACTGAAGCGGCTGCCGAAAGCACCTGATAAAATGCTGACGTCCTATCTCAACCTTACTACACTGAGGCTGAAAAGCCCCTTTAGGGGAGCTTCGATCAATTAACGTTGCACAACGTTGCACATTGCACAAAGATTGAAGGGTGATTAAGAGAAAGGACACAAAAAAATCAAGTAGTTACGGTTGAGGAGATGATGAGGGTAAAGAAAAGCCGAGGAAGGAGTGAGCAGGAGAAACGAATAGCAAAAATCCTTTTCACAGTTATCGATACGGACAGAGTATGGGTATTCTGCAACGTTTACCAGCGGTGATCTCTCACGTTCGTGTTTAGCCAGTGAATAAATACCATCTCCTGGATTTTTTCTTGAAGGCTTTCCTGCGCATGGAGAAGAATGTTCCTGACAATCAGCGCAAAGCTCGTGTTGAGGACGTGATACTTCAGGTACGATACATAAAGCATCCTGTTTTTTCGGAAAATCCGAAGTGCTTAAAAATAAGATGGTAGCGATAGCGTGAGACTTATGTCTCATTCTGCTTCTCTTGGATACGCTAACCTATTCATTAAAATAAATTTTAATTCGAAAACTCTGTCTCATTCTGATTTGGAAACCCAATGAGTATGTTTCTCATTTCTTTCTTTTTTTACTTTATTCCATCTTGTTTTTTGTCGTTATCTTCGAAACAACATCTAAAATTTAACGGCGTGGGAGAAAATTTGATAATTGTAACACTGAAAAATGGTCACCTCTCTCTGAGAAGATTTAGAAGCCTTTTTAATAAGGGACCTCCTCAAAGAGTTTCAACCGAGAATTCAGTGTAGGAAAGCTTATTAGAGTACAGAGTAATTTTGAATTGGCTCTTGCCGATGAATAGACTGCTTTAATTTGATTTTCTGTGCGTCTGATTAGTTGATGAAACTTGACTTAACCTCCCAACCAATAAAACGTAAAACTAAAAGTCAGTTAACACCAAAATTAACTCATTTCTCCCAAAGCTTGGGCTCACCAAGTGTGCCGATACATATATAGGACTACCGGGACGGTTGCGCGGGATCTCGGGAGGAGAAAAGAAGAGACTGTCATTTGCATCTGAGGTACAGTGTATGAACGCTTATACGAAGGATTCATCAGCAGTGAAGAAGTAATTATAATTGTTCATAGCTCATGTAAATAAGTGCATTTCTAACGACGATCGTACTATTTACTTCACGTACATACCACAACTACAAAGTTATTTACCTCTGCCATCGTTAATTAAGTGATAATGCGATGAAAAGAAACTCCTCATTTTGAATTTATCATAATTCGATGCCATTCGTCACCAGTTTCTCACAGACCCTCCTTTGCTGTTTGCTGACGAACCAACCTCAGGCCTTGATTCATTCATGGCTCAGAGTTTAATAACAGCACTGCAGCAACTGGCAGCACAGGGAAGGACAATAATTTGTACTATTCACCAGCCTTCATCGCAAGTTTATGCCATGTTCAACAGGTAACACACATCATCTTTCCAGTGTTGTTAATTGATTAATAACTTAATCGCTGAGCGAGTGGGATTGAAAACAACTGCATTCATTTATTTTTTGATTGACTCATTCATTCAGCCAAACATTTATTCATGATCATTCATCCCTTCACTCACTCGCGCACTTACTAACCCATTCATTCATTTATCCATCCATCTATGATAGACAGACCGACAGAAACACAGGCAGACAGCAGATAGGCATAAAATTAGTAAAACAACTGAAAGTCAGTATAGGGCGATCGTCCGGGTGAGTGTAGTCCTGAAAAGGACCGTTGTCCGTGGTGTTGACTGACCGGCGTTTCGAGAACCTGTGCTGAAGTCATCATCAGAGTCAAGTGAATAGTTTTTGTCAGTAAAATGTTCTTAGTCCAGTTCGTGTAAAATGATTGGTCAGTTTTGCCGTGATGTTACTGGCTGTAAGACTCAAAGTGGTGTAAGTCGGTCCTGATTGGTCTGTTTCGATCCGTCGGTAAAGTTAGGTCGTTTGTAATGTTAATGTCGTGAATGAGTCGTTTGTATGGTGCCCGTAGTAGTTGACACCTGTTTAGGGGAACCTGTTCTAAGTTAGTAAGCCAGCTTTCCAGAGTCAGTCGTTGAAAAAAGTTAATGCTGTAGGGTAGGCATTGCGCAGAGTCCCAGTCAATAGTGTGGTTCGTATGTTGATGATGTTCAGCAATGCGATTGTTGACATCAACTTCTTTCGTCGCCCGTTTGTGTTCAGTCAGTCTTGTTGCGAGGTTTCTGCCAGTCTCTCCAATGTAGGAGGCTTGGCAGTCGGAGCAACTGACCTTAGAAATCGCTCCCTGCCTGTTCCTCAGTTCGTCCTTGTCTTTAACGTTGGTTAGTAACTGACGCAGTTTAGTGATTGGTTTGTGGGCGACGCGGATATTTTAGGGTTGTAGGATGCGCGAGATGTTCTCAGACATTCCCTTTGTGTACGGTATGGTCGCTGTAGTCGTAAGAGTTGCGGTGCCGTTTGTTTCGGTAATAGCAGTAGGTCGATGAGTGTTTCGTCGGATGAAGTCGTCGTTGTAGTTGTTCTTGAAAAAACACGGTCAAGGTATTTGTTCTCGTCGAATAAGCTGTCTGTCGTGTTGCATAACAGTTGCGCTCGTCGTGTTTGAGTTCTGATAGTTGTGGCTTTGTATGATATACGGTTGTAGGATGACTTGTCTGGTAATCCGTCGGTGTGTGTCGGTTTCCTATAAACTGTCGTCCGTAGCGAGTTGTCGTCACGACTTACCAGACAGTCTAGAAAAGGAGGTTTACCATTTTCTTCGACTTCTCTGATAAACTGTATGTCAGTGTTTTGCCCTTAAGGCAGTAAGGGTATCGTCACTTAGCGTAACGAAAGAGGTATCGTTTGTGGGAAAATCGAAACGGTGCGTTCCTTGATGTTCTGCATCACAATTTCCGCTACAACAACAGAAACTGGTGACCTCATGGCTGTGCCGTGTAACTGTTTGTAGTGTTTACCTTTGTAGTGAAAGTAAGTTGACGTTAGGCTATTGATCAGTGATCGGATAAGTCACAAGTACTGTGACCAATTTTTCCATATCTCATTTTTATCAGTATCCTGTTGTTAGCAGAGGGACGGACAGCTTACCTTGGCTCCAGACCAGATGCCATTCAGTACTTTGACAGGTCAGGAGTTGTTTATTTTAACAGTTGTGTCACACCAAGAGAAGATAACTTGAGAGACTGGTTCCTCCAAATAAGTCCTTTGCGTAGTATCTCTTAATTTATATTTAAAATCATTTCTGAGTTCGAAGATCTCTTTAAGTTTCTGCGTTCGTTTCCTTACTAAAACAATTTTTTTTTCCTCTTTGAAATATTTACAGCTTAGGTTATCGATGTCCAGTCAATTTTAACCCAGCCGATCATTTTATCCATACGCTGGCTATCGTACCTGGTGATGAGGAAAACTGCCGCAAAAGAGTCCAGGTTATAACCGTTTTTAAATGATAACTTTGAAGCACTCTTTCGTAACTCTTCCCATACACGTTTCCGTGTAAATTAGTAAAGAGTGATATTGTATTAAGAAAACACCTCAGGGCTTATAAGTTTTTCTTTTCTCTTTGCTGGATTATATGTTGAAATACGAGTATAGTTACATGATATTCCCCTTTGGTAAATCGATGGGTTACTGAGTTTGCAAAGTCGTCGGTTTGCAAAAGGATTTCATAAATTAGAAATGGCACGATGACTTTAATTTTAAGGTTCTGAGCAGGGCAATTTGTGGGGTCACCTACCTATAAGAGGCCATGCGGGATTATAGTGTTCTTAACATGGCCTTCATGATCTGCAATAAAGGTTATTTGATTTGGTCGAACGATATGGCAAATCGTTGACTCGGAGTTATTGTGTGACTTTTATGAAGATTTTGAGCCAGTTTGAACATAAGTCTACCCGAATTCGAGAATCTAATCATCAGGCGCCAAAAATGTCTCGTTTCTACTACTCAGGACATCTGTGACGTGTACTCGGCGCATGAAGCAGAATTTGACAAGCCGGAGACACACGAACGACAGGTAATAAAGGGATTAACTGAGATTTTTAAAAGGGGGGAGGGGGAAGGGGA